CTCCGGTCTGCGCGCAACGGTGGGCGGAAGGGGAGGGGGCTTTTGGAAGAGTTGTGCAACACAACGAATCGATGACGCAATTCGTTGCCAACGCTTTTAGTAATCGATTTTCATCAAATTTATCGATTTGTTGTTGCAGCCCTAATTCATTAGGATTTTGTTCCCCTCGTAGAGAACATCCAGAGGTCCTTTCTTGGTGGAGACACGATTTAGGTTTAGGTTCAGAAGGACGATACCAGATTCGGAATTGCTAGCATGAATTAGTGTCTAGCAATGGTGCATTCAAAGACCAACATGAACACTACAGATCAGGGGTCTCATTTATCAAACATTGCGTAGAATCCTTACTAAAACCGTACTTAAGCTCAGCAAAAAAATGTAGTTACGCCAAGTAGGTTTGTGATCCATCAAACATGGAGTACGCACAGCTGCAGGCAATCTCCGCTTCATAAATCAGAAACTATCTAGAAAGGTTCTCTGCTGCTTTATAGTCGCCTCCCGACCTCACCACGCCCACTTACTGCCATAAATGGTCAGTGCAAAGTACGTTGTGGATCTCATGCATATGCATAAGCCGGATTGTTGTAGCGCTCCGCCAATGACGATGGCGACCGTAGATCAAGGCAGATCAAGGAAGCACAATTTCACAGAAGGAGAAATTGAGGTACTTGTGGGTGAGGTGGAGTGGCACAGCGTTGCTGAAGCCGTCAATGTTGTGAGTTATTCAGAGAGATCTGTGGCGGACATAAAAAAATGGTCCAATCGGGATTCAATCCCCAGACTCCCAGGTGAAAGTCACGCACGCTAACCAGTCACCCAAACGGAGATCTCCCTTGTCCAAGTAGCCAGGGCGCATGATCAATCGGGTCACAGTGACAGGACACACACTGTCACTGATGCATGACATTCTGTCTCAATCTGCCCCCTGCTAATATTCTGCATTCCGTATTCTGCACTTCAGGCTGTGTGTGTGTGTGTGTGTGTGGGGGGGGGGGGGGGGGGGGGGGGGGGGGGGGTCTTGTTCTGTGTGAAAACGAAGCAGTACAGGTGATAATGCTGCAAGATTTCATAATTGTATCCTTCTCAGCAGCAGCACTGCAGGTGCTCTCCATGTCCAACATGTGTGTAAGCCAGGACCTTAGTCAACTTAAAGTTGCGCACATTTTTCAGCTACGTTTTCTTTCATAAATCCCAAAGTTTGCATGGAAAGTTGCTTACGCAGTTTTCCGACCCCGTTTTGTGCGTAAGCAAGCTTGATAAATGAGGCCCCTGATCTGAAACTTTCAGACTGGCCAATCACAGAGGAAACTGATCGTGATGAATTATGGCTGATTCCATCACAACCTTTGGTGCATCTCTACTTCTCACAAATTTACACAATTACAAGTCTGTCGTCTCAAAAAGTTAGGATTTCATGTTTTCATTAAAGTTCTACATAATTCTGGGGTAAATAGAAAGATTTTAATACAAAACGTTAAACTATTTCTTCTTTCCAGTGAAGGAATATCCATATTTTTTCTGTTAAACAATATTATTGTTTAAAGAGCAAGTCACCCCAAATTTACTTATTTTTTCTGATAAACTATATAAATGTGTGTCTAATCGTGCTGCAGACACGTGTGGTTAATAGTTAAGCACTTAAGTGCATTTTAGTTAAAATTGTAATTTTCTACCTAAAACTGTCAGTGTTGTGCCGTCGTCAGGTAAAAACTCTGCACTGCATTTGGATTTAAATCTGCCATCGCTATTGGCTAAGAGGTACCCTAGAATGTTAGCTGGTACCATATGATGTCACAATGTCATTGTGAGCCTGTGTGTGTGTGTGTGTGTGTGTGTGTGTGTGTGTGTGTGTGTGTTTATTTGTTAGTGGCTCCGCCATCTCGGTCTGCTAGGCAACAGCATTTGTTACATTTTTCAAACAGGAAGTGGGAGTGGAGTAATACTCTGGTAGGGGGTGACTTGCTCTTTAAATTCCTAACAACCGCAACATTTCATTATTTTAAATCAGTCTTGAGAGCCTCACAAACCCACCGTTGAGGAGCCCACTCACAGTTCTGCAGGGTTAGGGTTTACACCGATGAGAAACATTCTTACCTTCTGACCTCTGACACCAGAGCAGCAAAGGGCTTCTCCCACGCGTACATCTTGATGATCCGGATTCCAGACACAACCTCGTTCATGGTGCGGATTCGGCTGTCGGTCAGGACTGCCGTCTTGCTCCTGTGAAGAATTGGAGACGTCTACGTCATCGATCTGGTCCGGTAAACAACTCTTAGGATGCTTTTGCAGGCAAGTTGGTGATGGGGGGACTCAGATTTGTGGTTTTTACCTAAACGTAGAGAAAAGCCTCCCAAAGAGAGTCTGGGTGGGCATCAGGAACATCAGGACCACCATTCCCCCCAGGCAGGAGGGACCGATCTCCACCCACAGCAGCCCCACAACAGCAGCTGCCTGAAGCGGCCCCACCCACAGGAAGTGCAGGAAAATAGTCACCTAAAGAAGAAAAGTGCAGCTGTGACTTAGATCGTCTGAAAACAAGGTCTGCTGAGATCTCTCAGGCAGGAATCCAAACCGCCTGCAAAACCGGACTGTTCTCAGCGGACTCTGTCCGACTTATTAAGATGAGACCTGGCGTTCCAGAGAGAAGTGGGATTTGGTGTTTGGAGCGTAACGAGGCTTTAACCTCGTGGTGGGAGGCAGAGCTGCCAGCTTCTTGGAAAACAATGAAAAGGTGAATCTACAGGAACACACAGATCCTTACAGCTCTGATCTCACTCTCCACCGTATAAAAACTAGATTAACGCTGCTCATTTTTACAGAAAGGCTGTGGTCCAACGTCAGGACGTCTAACACAACACACACAAAAACAGCTGTTCACTAATCTGTGAGGTGGCCGTCATTTCCTTTTAAAGAAAGACTAGGCAGCTCCGGCTTGCTTTTAGCACCTCCTAGTGTCCGTTTGTAGATCTGAAACCAAAACCCATCTCCTCTCTGTGCGTTTGCTTTTTTAACGCTTTAATCTAACAGCTGGAACGCCTCCCCAGCCGTCCTTAGTGATGAATCAGTGCTCTAGACACTGAGTTAAACAAATCAGCTGTGTTCATGATGCAAAACTAGGGTTGTCACGGTAACCGGTGTAGCGGCACACCCCGGTAAAAAAGTTGACAATAATAATAACCGTCTTGTTTTTTAAAAACATATATTAACGCGGTGGATTACCGTGGCTGCGGTGTAGGCGCGGTGACCCTTACCAGCCACCGTATCATCTGCTGAAGTTGCCGGCGGCACATGCGCACTTTGTTGTTTACAACCAAAACTTTCTTGATGCTAAAGCTGAAATAATGGCCGAAGGAGGAGACGGCAGCGCTCAGGACATTTATTATCCCTCAAAGAAGACAAAGTGGGAATTATGGGCATCTTTTGGATATTTGAAGAATGCCGAGGGACAGTTGATAGAAGACGGCTATCCTGTTTGCAGCACGTGCAGAAAAAGTGTCTTTGAAAGGCAGCGACACTTCAAATCTCATGACACATCTGCGTGACCATCACCCACAACTCTACAGTCAACGCAAGGCAAGCTAACGTTAGCGTTTTAGCTAAAATGCGTGATCCAAGGATTTGGGTTGAGGGAGAATGCAACGAGTCGCTATATAAAGCAGCCGCAGCGCCGCTACCTGCATATAAACCGTGTCGCGGACACCCCCATGTTGAAATGACGCTATGCATTACGGGGCTCCCAGGGGCAGATAAGAGTTGGTCTCTCTCCGAGAATAATTATGAATTTAACAACGATGACTGCCTGATGACATTTTCCCACATCTGCAAAGCTCACTGGAAGGACACAAACCGAGGACAATATTTTCCTGATATAGGGTTTATTACTCAAGTAAGGGTAAAAAAGTATCTGATTAGAAGGCTACTTGAGTACTGAGTATCATCTGGTCTAATATTTTTAAAATGATGACATCAAACAGACAAAAAATAAGAAATTATGGGCAAATATTGGTATTTTAAAGACTAAAGGGGAAAAATGTAAACAAATAAACAACATAATTACAAAATAACACATTTTAGACAAAATTTAGACACAAACTGAGTACAATATTTTCCTGATATACAGGGTTTATAAGTTGTTTGAAAATGTAACACTTTTAAGAAAATATTGCGATATCGAAAACCGTGATAATTTTGGTCACAAAAACCGTGAGGTTAAATTTTCACACTGTGACAACCCTATGCAAAACATACAGGAAATGTGCTGCAAGCAGACTGCAGCACCAGGTATGTCAGCTCCACTTTTTCCAACAGACCGGACCGGCAACTGTAAAGACGCAAGTGGAACATTCTGGCCACAGGGGGCGATGGAGCTGGGTGCCCTTTCATTAACCCTATAAAGGGTTGTTTTAGCACATATTGGCTCAAGAAAATGTTGCAAAGTATTCCTTTAAGCATCCAGTGCCACGTCTGTACCATCGACATATAAATATTGGACAATGGGTTTCCATAGGCTCCAATAACACGTTTTTGAGCTAAAATGGGAGGTGGTCACCACCGCCATTTTGACCGTGTCACAGGTTCCGTCAAGCCCAGACAATTCCACAAAAGGGAAGAGAGGTGGAGCTGAGGGTGGGGCTGTACGGCTGGGATCAACTGACGACACCCGATCGAACTAGCTACAAGCTAACCTGAAGCTAACCCAAAGCTAACGCGGAGGTGGGAGCTAAGCTAACGGAGGTAGCAACCTAGCTACAACCGGAGTTAACTGTGCACAACACCAGAGCTTCTGAGTCAGAGATACGCCGGGCTGACCGCTGGGTAAAACCGGGTGGAACACAGAGGTCTCCCGAGACCTCCACAAGCCAGCAGCCGCACAGCAGACAAGCGCCGCTGCGATCTGAGATGCGCAGAGCTGCCGCTGGGGAGAACCGGGTGGAAAGGTTTCCATCCCAGAGCTCCACGAGACGTCAGCCCGCGCAGCAGACAGGAGCCGTGATCAGACAGAGATGGACCGAGCTGCGGGGAGGGGAGAAGAGCTCCACAAGCCGATAGTGGGAACCCAGCTCCACCAACATGTTATATTTCAACCCATTTTCTAAAGTGCAGCATTATGTTAAATGCACTGGGTTTTACCCTATTACATTTAAATTTCATGGTTAAACAGTACATGTTAAAATCTAAGCTCAGCTCGGCAGCAACCTAAAACACATAAATATAATTTTACTTACCGAAAAAAATGAAGTGGAGACTCCTTGGACGCTCTATTGTGCAATTAATGCCACAGCAAGTCATTTTATCCAACAATTGCACAAAAAATATCCAAAAAAGAATACACAAACACAGAGACTCAAAATCCCGGAACAGTTTCCAAGCCAGACTGAGGCCTTTCCCCCGAGCTAGCTCTGTGGTCACGTGGGTCTGATGTTCATTAATAATACAGAATTTTAGGCTTTTAATACACTTAAACAGAAGAGTGGAAAAAAAATTCACCCCCCTCAGAGTTGTCATGAGTGTAAACTAGATCATTTAAACAAAAAACATGTTTTGGTACCAGACTGTAAACATGTTTATTTCTGCTGTGAAATTGGTATTTTTAACATGGGAGTCAATGAGGATTTGCTCGCTTCTGACACCAGCCCCCAGCAAATGCCCCACTTGTGGGACAAATAAAGGAGGACGGTATCTTAAATCTACACTCGCTGCTTCCACCGTAACACCTTTAAAACCAGGGAAACCCCAGGTGGGCACTCACCAACCAAATACTATCCAGATGGTTTCCTCTCACCCGTGGACATTTTATCCTTTTAGACATGTACTGTTCAACTGTTACAGTACATTGTTCAAACAGCAGCCAGCTCCGGACTCCGACTGGTTCTTTTTGATAAATACCGTAATCCTTTTTTTAATAGAAGTGATCGTTTTTGTTTTGTCATCAAAAATTCATTTTTCATGAAAAAATAAACAAAAACATTTGGTCAACAAAATGAACACGGGTATACTCGAGCAGAATAGAGGACTCTGCGGGTTGCCGTACCTCATCAAACCTGTTGACGTCGTTAGAGAGCAGGTTGACGATCTGGCCTGTGGTGGTCTTTCCCATGGCTGAGCTGCTCAGGCTCAGAGCCTTTGGGAAAGAAAAGGGAGAATTAGCAGTGCAAAAGCATGCATGCATGCACACACACACACACACCTTCTTGTAGATCATGTGACACATGGCCACTCTGATCTTCATGCCCGCCCTCTGAACATTGTAGAAGTAGAGATGATGGAGCACCGCCAGGCCCATGGTGCAGAGGGCCATCCCAGCGGCGTAGCCTAGCGTCTCATGCAGAGCCGTTTGATCATCTGGGTCATAACTCTCAAAGTACTGAATCATCTGACCCAGGAAGACTGGCTGGACCACTTTAATGGTCTCCTGTTGTAAGAGGAGGAGAAGGTGGTCAGGGCATGAAAATCTCCACTCAGAACATTAAAGGTGATCCAGCAACAGCTCCAACCTCTATCAGAGTAAAGATTCCCAGCACACCGTAGGACTTCCAGTAACAGCGGATAATGACTTTCCCCAGCGCCGGTGCTCGCATCTCTTTGGCAGCATTCTGGACCTCATGATCCCAGTATCTGGTTTGGAGAAAAATGTCCTTTCCTCAGGTTATGTGGGACATGTGGTGAGTCAGGACTTGCCCGTGACGCGGCAAACGCATAATTACAGAAGGATTCCCTGTGAGAGGAGTTGGATCCAGGCAAGTCCTAGGGTCCTGTGGCCATGGATGTGGACATTAGCTCCTTTCACTATAAGATTTTATTCTCTTCAACTTAGACCTTGTTGTTGTTATTTATAGACACTTGATGTTGACTTTAATTTTAAAAATTATTTGTTGTCTTTTTTTTGTAAAGAAATTTGACAAGATTTTAATTGAATATTTTATTTAAACTTTTGATAGCTAGATATGTGTTTCCTTTTAAATCACACCAAATACCAGCTTGGGTCTCAGGAGGTTACACACATCAACGCTTCTGCTAAGCACTTGTTCCACTTGACCTGTAAGAAGGGTTTGATCGGGTTTTACTGACATGGGCTTAAAGACGGGTGTAGGAGCCATTATTGTTTTGGTTTAGATTATATTATGGTCTAAGTTTATTTTGATAATGTTTTATGTACATTTCAGTTTATTGCACTATGGTTTGTATTTCCTTTAACCACTGGTGGCACTGCGGAGCCTATAAAGGTGTTGAGGCTGCAGTGCACTGGCGTTTTTTGGGTGACGGGAGGTCACACAGTTTTTACCGCTTTGTTTGGTTTCATATGCCACGTCTAATTTGCCGTTAAAATTTTCATCATTTACATAAACCTGGACAAGAAATAGCCATTGTGGACCCAGCTTGTGATCGTCAACATATTCAATAAATGGGACAATAAACCCAAACCCGCTTTCTGCCTGGGCAATATTGTTGAAGCGAGTCATTGCCTCCACCCGCACCCGAGGGTGACTAAAAGTGGGACTTGATAGTCACTAAAACGGGTCTACTGTATCCTCGTGGCAACGGTTATCCCAGGATTCAATGCGGGCTGAACGAGTGAATTTTGTTGCAGCATTAATGGTGAATGGAGCAGGGGAGGATTACAGTGTTGCCACGTTAATATCTGGAGGTCAAAGAGGACAAAGCTAAAGCAGTTGGGTTGTCAAGACTCTTCGTTTGCATGTTTTCTTCTTTTGTCAAAAATAAGAAAAATCCTTATAAACTAGCTAGTAGGGCTGGGGGTAAACGATTATTTTTAAAACGATTATTCTGACGATTATTTTATCGAATAGTCGACTATTCTAATGACTATTTAGAAAATTAATCTAATGATTATTTTTCTATTGCACAATTAACAAAAACCAGAAAATCACAAATAAATTCCTCAAAAAAATTGATAAATTCTTACTGTAAGAGAATAAACACTACAGGCCTTCCATTTTGTATAACACTGCGTTTATTGTGTTGCGGGTTGGTTATGTTCTGGTGACGTGTAGAACTTGGGAGAGCAGGCTGCTGCCTGAGAGGTGGTAGAAGATAGAGTGTCTCCATGCTGCTTTGTTTTGGTCACTTATGTGCGTGAGGCGAGTGGTCTTACGGGTTAAACCAAACTCAGGTGATATTTTACACTAAACCGAAAACCCACAACACTCTAAATGTAATAAAAGGGAGATCTGCGCCACAAAAAAGATGAACTCTAAACCAAAACGTAACAGCTTATCCCAACGCAAGAAGCTGTTAGCGAAGATGCTAACAGTAGCTTTACCAACGTTAAGTTCAAGTTACCAAGTTTAAATAAACCAAAAACACCCAGCAGCAAACAGACCAGCACGGAGGAGAGACTGCTACCACCAAAACAGCTCTCCTAATGTCTGAAAGAAGCTCCTTTATGAAGGGAGAAACGCTCCCGGTGATTTTCTACATCTGCGATAGACACGAAGCAGCGCATCTGACCCCGGAAGTTGTTGTCCGTTGCCGGGAGACGAAGGCGGGCAAAACAGGAAAATAATCTAGTAGTGGACGGACGTTGTTCCGGGTCTTCGGTATTTGGCGGAGATGTTAGTGAAGGGGGAGAAGAGGGCGAACTAGAGGAAAAACAGGCAGATTCCTCCTCTATTTACAAACTCCTGGGGATGCAACAAGTGGGCGCGGTGCGTCGACTACCGGATCTGACGTCGACAAATTTTTAGAATCGAGCCGTCGACTTCGTCGAGGCTTCGCTACAACCCTACTAGCTAGCATGCCGGGTCCTTCGTGTTTTTACACAAAGTTTAGTCTTAACTTCTGTTTAGCACCGTCACAGTTGCTAGGCAACGGGACATATGCTGAGGACGTAGGAATAAATATGAAGGCTAGAAGAAGCGGTCGAGGAAGAACCCAACATATGTGGGCCGGTCCATAGAAGGATGCTGCCTGTGAATTGGAACGCAGCCATATGTGTTGGTGGCTAAAGCCTGACTCACTTGCACATTCTCCTGCAATGCCCTGGTCCTGTAGAATGAGCCCTGGCATTTTTACTGTGATTGCCTGTTTTTCTGTAAAATCACAGAAAAAGAGAGATGCTCGGGTCGAGCAGGCTGCTTCATGCGCGTTCACGCTCAGGCATAGCCCGTAGCATTTGCTATCCGTAGCTTTAGCAGCAGAGAGAGAGGCAGTGCCACTTTGTCGCTGTTCCTAACGCCTAGTGACAAAGCTAGCTACATTTCTGAGGACCCTAAGCTACTTTCTGTAGAACTTTCTTGTAGATATTTCCTGCAAATTAGCAACAAAATAGCCATTTTCACTCCGACCCGTTCTTTGAACGTTGTTTCAGCTGTCATCAAGGATATAAATGTTACAGATACAAAAGACGTCACTGGCACTTTAGCTCACCTAGTAAAACATCGGACTCCCATGCAGAAGACCCGGGTTCGATTCTGGATGTGAACATAGTTTATTTAGAGTTTCTTTTTTACATTAATGGTACATTTTTTTACAGTAAGATGCACAAATTTTTATTTGAGACTTGCTGAACGGCATTGAATTCACAGATAAAAAAGATGTGGGTTCAACTTTCATTTTGGAACAATTTTTCAAGCAAGGGAAGGGAATGATCTGAGCATGCAGGAGGACTGACCCATCATAAACCTTTGTCGGCTGTGCTGAAGAGAAAGGTACAGAACCACATTATTTAATTAATTAGCTGCGTGTTCTCCTGTCCTCTGTCCTCCGGGCCACCCACACACGCACGCACGCACGCACACACACACGGAGCTGACTGTCTCAGCTGTTATTTTCATTAAGGAGTGTGCACGTACAGCATGCGCGCCTCGTGCACGAGCCTACTATTGAAGCTGCTGTTACGCTTTTGGCCTGAGGGGGCAATCGCGAGCATAAAAATTCAAAAGTCTGTAAAGTCCCTTTAAATACATCAACACATCTACGTGGGAACTCGGTGCACCTGTCCCGTACCAACAGATCCGGATACGGAAACATGCATGGTGACACAGCTAACACTGATGAGTTACATCATTCATGCACGCATTCAAGCCTTGACTCTGTCAGACAACTTTAACAAGCGCTCATCTCAGGTAGTGTAATAAGTGAACCATTATATGACAGTCTGAATCTAGTCTCACTAAATATGTTTTACAGGAGGACTGTTACATAAATGCCCTGGGGCTTTTATTGTGAAGGGGTTAAGACTCGGTTTGATGGATAATAAAGACAAACGCTCATGATCTCCTGTTACAACAGAGCAGTGAGGTAAACCTGATCGAAACATCACAAGGACCACGTTAGCTGTAAGGTGGAGGCTGAGGACTCTGCGTTTCCTCCGATTCACAAGTTTCTGTAACGTGACGGAGGTGTCCAGGCACACCTTTTCTGCGTGGCGGTGCCACTGGTGTGTGTGGCATTGATGAGTTGTCAGGTGATTCTAAATGTCCTATGACTGTGTCTCCACGTTCACATGTTGTTCATACTACTGCTGTTGTTGTTGTTGGTAACCGTTGGTTACTTAATACCCCTGCTAGAGAAGCTGATGTTTTCTATGAGCGTCATGGTGTGTGCTTCCCTCTCAAACCCTATGGGTAACAGTTAGGGATGCACCGATACCGATACTGGTATCGGTACCGATATGATGCCAATACCAGTATCGGTATCGGTAAAAGTTAACCGATACCAGGAACCAATACCAATGCAGTTGCTTGAAAATGGCTTCACTGTAACTTGTCATTTCTGTTCACCTAATATTTTAGTTTTGTGATGATTTCCATTCATATATTTTACTTTTTATCTACCTCACAATCTTTTCCTGTTGAAAGCAGAGAAGAAAATAAAATCTGTATTCCAAATCATTGCCTTTTTTTGTATGGTAGAAGTATCGGTAATCGGTATCGGCGAGTACTCAGATCCAAGTATCGGTATCGTATCGGTTTGGAAAAAAGTGGTATTGTTGCATCCCTCGTAACAGTTCCACGTGGTGCTACGGTCCGTGTAGGTGAGGGCTCTCTTTATTACTTGGATCCTGGTGAGCATAGGTCTTATGATAACATCTCCTTTGCTCTTTCTCCAGCTACAGTGGATAGTGTTACATCGATGGTCCAACCATGGTTCGGGTTGGTGTGGAGAACAGGGTGCTGCATGAGTTGTCGGCAGATCCCGGTCTCAGGTTTCAACCAGTGTCTTACTCCTGGTCCTCCGCTGATTCTGTCGTGATATTCACTGCATGCCTAAACCTCTGCCTGTCGTGGGGTTTGTCATTTTTCCTGTTCCGTCACTTCTCCGCACGGTTGACCTTTCTAGGGGACTCGGTCCGCGATGTCTGGGGGCGCCAAACTCGGGCCATCGCACCGGTTCGTGAAGCACCGGCTGCCCAGGTGCCTCCGCCTGAGCCGGCTGGTCCTGCTCCTTCACCTGCACCTCCTGCGCCTTCAGCTAGAACTTTGAAGGTGGAGTGATTTCTATTGCCAGACTCGTCTGCTCCATAGTTCTCTATTTCGAGTTACACAAGTTTGTCCATGTTTGTGTGTGTGCATGGTTGTCTTTCCTGCTTATACATGACGTGCAGACTTTGTTGATTGGAGATGAACATGCTGTGGGTTCCTGACGTCAGGTAATCAGTTAGTTAACAGTAGATGGGTTTAGTCCACATATTACTGTAATCCTAATTTGTTTTTATTTTCACTACTCTTAATTCCTCATGGGTACATTCACATGTAGGTTGATTACTAACCACCGATTTACATTTTTAGTGCTCTTTGACACTCATATATCTATTTTTTATAGAATTTTACTACAGTGATTAAGTTTTGAAAACTTTATGATTAACTTTGCTAATTTACCATTATGGGCTACAACCATTTTTGCCCTTCATTTTGATTACATTTTTACTTAGTGCAGTGATTTCTCCCATACGCAGTATAGGGTTTTACTTCTTTATTCTTTTCGCACCACTTTTTCCAGTACACGTAGTGTATCGCACCCATTTCTTCGCTTAATGCTAATTCACATAATTGCTGCACATAGTACATGCAGGTACTCACAGTGATACGTTTCTTTTTGCTTGTTAATTTGCATTAGACGCCATTTTGTTGTGTCTACATTGAAGTGCCCTGTGCTGTGCTCTCTCTCCTCTGCTGAGTTTCGTCGATGATCGTGCTTCCTGGGGGTGGACCTATGACTCGCCATTGGATTCTACTCCTCCTGCTTGGTGTTCCGGCTCGTAGGACCTGGACGTCCGTTTGTCCTGGCATGACTGCTGGGATACTTCGCTCGCTGGGACCTGACCTACCTGCTGCTCTTTCCTGTACTGGATCACGATAAGTGCTATTACAAAGATCAATATGTTATTTTGGAAGTATTCCCGACCTGTGGAAATATAAAGTTTTGCTCCTGCTTCAAAATATTACTTCCAAGGGGATATCTTGATAATCTGCTGACTTGTGTGCTTCCCGAGGAGTATGCAAGACTGTTCTTCAGAGTGGGGTTCGTATCTCACCGCTTTTGGCCTCTTCCTGGGGAATTGCACCCTGCTCTATCGTCGGAGTCCTTTAAGACTCTGGTTTGTTCAATGACAGGTGGTCTCTGGACGGACCACCGTGCCCTTGAAAAGGGGGGTATGTAACGTGACGGAGGTGCCATTCCACCGAAGGTTATTTACCCCCCTCTCTCCACAGATGCCTCTGACACAGTACTAAGCTGCATGAGACTGTCTCAAGGTCATGCATTCGCTTCTAAACTGCTTCCTTTCCAGCTCAAGAGAAGAATGAAGACAAAGGACTCTTTCCTTTTAATAAATCAAAGAACTCTATTTTTAATAAAGCTAATCAAACAAGGTGTTAGTCAATAATATAATGTTGACCAGTCTATGAAATGACAATGTTAGGATTAGTATGCTTTAATAAGTAATATGACTTTAATCTAGCTGCACTAGACACTCTGATGACATGTAATGTAAACGCACGACACATTGTTTACTCATCCAATCAGAACCTTCCTTTCTGAAGCGTGGCATAGTCTCTGTGGTGTTTAAAAATCTGCCAACTTTGATTTGACCAGAAATCAGAACATCCAGATTAATAAAACCAGTTCCCACTCCATCTTAGTTCAGTTCTCTGAGTTCTCTACAGTTCACTGAAGTTCACCGCATGCTAAGTAAAGTATCGGACCGGCCACCCGGACTTCCTTTTTAAGCAAAGAACCAACAAGCTCAATAAAATCTGTTGCATTTTACCAACCAAGCAACGGTTCCTTTCAGAATAATAGCTGACCTCACTGACCCTCCGGGTCCATCTGACGCTGTCAACCAACTGTCGCTTTTTACCTGGAGACAATCCAAAGACTAGTCTGTCGTACTGCTGACACTGTTTCACCGGCTCCGGTACCGAAAGGGGGGTCCGAGGACCTGGCAGTCTGGATCTGTAAGGAGGTCTCATCCTAATGGTATGTGTAGAGCGACAATATGGCGTCTCGTGTTTATGAAACTCCGATCAAACTCTGATCATAGCTAAAAGCAAAACATCACAACATCATTCAGACTTGCTTCTCCGGATACGAGAGTTTGGATTACATCACTCACACATACACCATTCATCTCACGTCTCATTCACACCAGATCCATTCATCACTTAGAGTTAGTCTTGTTTAAAATTCTTTAAAATTGTTTAGAAATAAATCTTCTTAAACGTTTTAAAGGTGACTCTCTCGTCTCTCACTTAATACAAGTGTTACATAATCCCTGCAATCAAAAGTTCCAATCTTCTGGTTAAAATAACCCAACTGTCCGTAAGGTTGATTTCATATTTACTATGGAATCTTACGTCTTACGGGTCCTTAATTAGAAGTAAATTAACTCTTTTACATTTCTTTCCCCTTGCCATGGCAACAAGGGCTGCATTCCAAGTACAGGGAGCTCTGCTGGTCGTTTTACCAGCATGCACAGCTACAGAAGTGGAATGCAGCCCTCACTGATACACCTGTACCTTCTCTAATCTGTCAAATAAAGATGAAGTGTCCTGGCTCACTCTGCTGGCCCGACTCCTCCGTTAGTGTGAGCTCAAGCACCAGTTAGTTATTTATTTACAAACAAGCGATCAGAGTTGTGATGTCCTGAATAGTCTCCTTAAAAGGCTGGATCCAAACTGCCAGATAAGAGTTAAAAAGATCAACATGTGTGGTGTTGTGCATCGTTTATGGTTCTGGTTTTTCCTCTGGGAGTTCCTCAGAAATAAACAGAGCCGCTTGTGTTGTTGGAGATAAAAAAATCAGCGAGACAGTAGTTACACAGCTACTGGCTCCTTATCCTTTAAAAGGAAGTGAGAAAGAAGAAAGCTGCCTTCAGAGCAGCACTAAAACCCGTTAAATCACTGAGAAATTTACATTTCAAAATAAATAACAAACGGCCTCCTCAGACCAGAGAGGGCAGAAGGGTAGCGGTGCAGACTGGAACCAAGGTGTGGATCTATCAGCACGGGAGAGAAGAGACTCGCTTTTGTTTGTTTACCAACAAAGTTCAACTAAACTAACGACGATCATCACCGTTCGTCCAGCTTGCTTCTAACAGATCTGGTTCCAATCAGCTGTCAGTTCCTAAAAGCTCAGTCACAGTTTTAAGAAAACAACGAGTACAATTAAACCACGCGTATCCTGTTAGCCTCAGATTAAAGGGATCATAAAAGCCGCTGTTTGGAAAATGGGAAATGTCCATCCCCATGAGAACCGTGGAGTAGACTGCTACCGCCGCGCTGTTTCAAGGCAGCAGGAATCCACAGTCACTATCTGTTAGCTTATCGATCTGGTCACACTTGTCTTCCATTTATCACCAATAAGAACAAATCTGTAACCTGTCCAACATTTAGGAGATAAAGCAGCACGCTCACCTCTGTAACTCCTGTCCCACGTACTCCGACTTGTCCTCCGAGAGCACCTCGAACATGTCATCCTCCTCCAGCCTGCGTTTGTAGCCCGTTCTAAAGAGAGGATTCAGCCACCTGACAGGAGAAGAACAGACCAGTCAGGGGGTCAGAGCGGTCCAGCTCATCCCATTCAGGAAGTCACCAGTTATGATCCAGCTCTAGTCTGATCCCACACACTTCCCTTTTTCATTAAGGAGCCTAATGACACCTGACACATTCACCATGAACCTCGAGAGGTCAGTTTGAACCAACGTTTTACACAAAAATCTTTATGGTGTTCAAGTTTTTCTGCCATTTTCAGCTCATTGGAATAAAAAGTAAATATAGTAAGCAAGTGGACTGGGCTCAATTAGTATCCAAACAACATCTCTGCAAGAAAATCTAGTTTTAATTCAAAACAAACTTTTAGACTTGCCGTTTCTGACCAATCAGCATCCCTGAAAACAACAGATTTGAACATTTATGAGTATAAATAAATACTGTAAACTCGGTTTTCCACTTACACAGATTTATGTCACCCTTAATAACTCAATCACACTTAATCTGAGGCATCACGCGCATATTTTGGCAGGATTTTCATTTGTACTCCTTTGATTTTTTCATTGTTATATCTTGGTGTAATCCTTTTGAGTCACATTTAACTTCTGCGTCACGGCCTCAGATCATTTAAGTCTTTTTGGGAGTGTTTAGCTTGTGCACAACGTCACTTTTCTCCCTGGGAAACGTAAATAACCGAGACCCCTGGAACAGAACCGAATCAAACGCAGTATCGTCTAAATTCAACACACCTGGCGCTTACGGTTTTCCGGTTTCAGGAGCTGGCGCGTGTGATGACACGACGGCCAGGTGTCCTGTAGCTGGTGCCACTAAGCTAACAGGTAATAACAAAAACAAAACGGGTCAAAAAACTAACAAAAGTGAGAATAAACTCCGCTAAAAGACGTTTTAAATCGTACTGCTGCTGAGCCCATGCTTTGTCACAGCAGCACTTCCGACTGAATACTTTTACTTATGACAAAAGTATGTAAACAGTAAAAGTGAGCAGAGACACGTTTGAACTCCCCGCTACGCTAGCAGCGTCTCGCGCACGCCGGGTACTATTTGACCTACCAGAAAAACACCTTCGACAGGAGGTTCGCCGTCGCTGCCGGGTTGGTCTTCGCATCTCTGCTGACTTTCTCCATGGTTGCCGGCCGGCTTCCCCACAGTACTCCACCTCCCTTAACTTTCTCCTCCTTTAAAAGCTGCCTCCGGCTAAGTGGCGTAACTTTGTAGTACGCACATGTTACAGGAGGGTCCTGCTACTGTACGGTGGATTACATAACACGTCAAGACACGCAAGCCGATATTACATGCAGAAATAAAAAAAAGGAAATAGAAACACTCCCATGTCCCGCCCTAAGCAAATCTGATTGGCTAATAAAATAAGCAGCCCTATTCTATTGGCTGAGTGTTCACAAGCTCTCACGCGATTGGTCTACGATTTTACGGTTGTAGAATGTGCTCCATGCGATCTAATTAATTACCTATTAATCCTTTATTGGGCACCCATTGAAGAATTTAAACTTTTAAATTTTCAATAAAATTGTATTTTTCAATAAAAGTACACTTCTGTTGTTACAATTTTCAAAAATATTTATTTTCATGCAGAAATTCAGACGGTGATTAAATATAAACGTTGGCCCTGTTCTAGAATAAGAAATCCCAAAAATAAAAAACATGAACAAGTTTTTAATTTTGAATAATATAGATAATTATAAGACACTTTAGAATAATCTAACTGATTTTAAAACATTATATGACTGTTTACTAATACACATTATATCAGAATTATTATAGAATTTTTATGAAAACAGATAACTGTAGAATATTTTAGAAACGTTATTGAACAATAGATACTATTTCTAATCAAATATAGATTATTATTTTATTTTTAGAATATTTTATATTTGAGGATCTGTCATCTTCCTCCTGTTCATCATCATCACTGATGGTGAGATTGGTTGGCACAATACCTGTCCTCCATTTCCAAGAGAAATCTTAGTTTAAAACTGCAAAATACATTCAATATCATAATTGTTCCTGTTACTATGAAGATTTTGTCTAAAAAAACAACAATTTTATCTAAAAATATTCATAACTTCTTTTACTTGTTCAGGGCGTATGTTCAAATATGGCAGATTTGATTTTTATTCGATGATTTCAGTAATTTCATTGGGTTTAACATTTACAACACATGTATCCTTATTTAGCACAACTAGTCAACCTTGTGATGTGAGAGTTTCATGAACATTGTTAGTTTTAGCGTTCTGACCATAAACACGAGAGGAGAAGTTTTCTGGCTCTGCAGACACCAATATTTGGCGCGTTATAGCCCCGCACTGATTGGTGGAATGGCGCCATGGCGCAAACCATGACAAGTTTGATTTCTGATGATTGTTTGGGTGAAATCCTGTAACTCTAAGAGTTTGTAAAAAGGCATACTGACAGCATTTATGACGTGAGTGGAGGTATCTATTAGACACTGGCCCTATAAAGAGTTAATCATATAAACAGAGGACTGGAACAATTTTAGACAAATTTACTGACAGATCCTGATCATGAAATGTATCTAAACCAATTCTACTTAGTGGGATAATTGTCTTATTGCATTATGTTGTGTTTGACTGTTTTAAATGAAAAATAACACATTTTATTCATCTTTAAAAGAGCATTTTAACACATAATTTTGATGTGGGGCAGTCAGAATGGCAGCAGAGTAAAAAAGGCACGATATGGATCAGGATTTGCCTTTTGTTTGTTCTTGTTTAGTTTTGTGTTCTTTGAACACAAAAAGGACACCCTAGAAATAAACAGCAGGCTGGATGAGCGATGCACTTGACTCTACAGGTGTTTCCTGCAGTCACATAAAAGACCAGCGAGAGCAGAAACAATAAAACCCGTCTATTCTTTTCCCACCAGCATGATTCTCCCACACGCTATTACGACACTGGTCAGGAAAACTTTTAAAGAACGCCCCTCACGTCACGTGTGGCTAAAGTTAACTATTTCCTGATGCTGTCAGATTTATAACAGTGCAATGTGGACTCCATGACTCACGTTTTCCTCCTGTTTATGTTTAGCTAGCACCGACTAGGAGAAAGGTCAAAGGAGAAAAGCCAGTGGGAGATCATTTCAAGTATTTAAAGGGATCCCAGTAATATTAATCTGCTCAGGAGCAACATTTCTGTTCCCACGCTGCCTTGGCTGTGAAACAGGACAGCGTTAATACTGAGGAGGGACCAAATCTAGCATTAGCGATACTAACAGATGTTCTAAAAGCACTCATTATCGGATTACAGTAGTTCTGAGGAGTGGGGGGGACACACGAGAACACGTTGTCCTTATCCAAGATACAGGAAAAAAGAGAAACCAGTATCAATGTTTAACTGGGGTTGTAAAAATGTCAAACTCACCCACCTCCTAGTGACATGTGAACATCACGATCTGACCCCAGAGCAAGACACGAAGGTGTCCCAGCCTGGAGAATCACGTTTCCCTTAGCATGTGTTTTATAGTAGATGAGTGGTTATATGTTATGGCCTATGGCTGACCGTGATAAACGGCTGGAATAAAAGCATTTTTGTAACATTTTCTGTTTATTGTGTGTTAACTACAACAGTTCTTTGGTGTCTGTGTTGCAAATTTAACTCATTATCTTTAAAATTGACTTGCTCTTTAACCATGTTTGTGCTTGCTAATGCTAGCTGCGGTGGCCATCTTGAATCAAATTGATTACAATCAGTTTTAGATACTTTCAGAGTAAAATCCACCCAGTGGTTCATGAGATATTCTGCTAACAGACAGTTAAGGGCTGAATTTAAGTCACATTATCCATTTTTGTTCTGCATTTTGCAGTTTAGTAAAAAGAAAAATAAATAAATAAATAAAATGGGGGCATTAACGAGTGACACCGTCCTCCAGCCCGACAATCTCTGAAGATAGCTAGAGATACTTAATGAAACATTTCAGGTAAAAAAACAACAACTTGCTTTTAAGAAACTGTTTTTTTTAAAGTACAAAAAAATGGATAACTAAGATGAACATGGGAAGAAATACAAAAGAGTTAAGTTCCATTAGTCATCACACACTGGTGAAATTCCATCTTCACATTTGACCCATCCCCATGGCGAGCGGTGAGATGCAGCAGTTGCTGCGCTCAGGAACTTAATGTTGGTTCCCTTATGTTACCTTTTAATGTTTTAACATTTCTGGCATTTGAGCACAAAAAATGCACACAAAACTTCCTATAGAAATATTATATAATATTTCATATGTCCCCATTTTTTTTACATAGATAATAAAAAAATGTGTGTTTCTGATTTTTAACCCCTTTATTGCCAGGTTTGTGATCAATACTAGAACTGTGAAAATATGAGAAAAAAAACATTTTTTAATCCATTAATTTTTTGTGTTTTATGTTCAGATGACTTTTGGGGGGGTTAAACTGTCACAGCCTTGGACAAATAGGCATAAAAACAGTTTAGCTCACTTTGTAGTTTTGGTGTAATTTCATGTTTTCTTAAAAAAGTCACGATTTTAACTTTGTTTCACAAAACAATGCAGACACAATACTTCCTCATATAATTTTTCATAACTCCCAATTTTTTTTACATGAATTTTGTCCTTGGCTTCAGTCCTCACAAAATATAATAAAATATTTGTGAGTTCCTGAGATTTAACCCATTTATTTCCCCCTTTATTGTCAGGTGCATGTTCATAACCAGATCTGTAAACAAGTGAAAAATATTTTTAAAAAAGCTTGCCTGTTATGTCCAGATTATTTGTTTTATGGGCAAATTGTCAACACATTGGAGTGTCATAAAAGGTCATAAAAATATTTTCATGAAATTTTTTTTATTTGAATGCAGCATTCGTCATAAAAACTCAAAATTGAGTCTGCAACTGCCCTGGGAACCCAGACAGAATTTATATTATATATAAATAATATATATAATATTTAGGCTTACTAGAAAACAATTATTTACATGGGGTCAATGGCGCAAAAAAAGTGCACTAATGACGGTAACGCTACAAAATGATTTTAATGTTACATTAAATGGAGTAGAGGATTTTTTATTTTTTATTTTTGATATTTCCCCCAAAAATACACATTCTCCCCAAAAACAAGATACATTGCAGGAGCATTGCCAAAATTAACCACAAAAATACACCTTTCTGCGCAAAAATGAATGGACTTAGGACATATAAGGGTTAATCCCTTAATCCAAACTCTTAAGGCTGAGCATCAAGCGGGGAGGCACTGGGCCTTTTGTATGACCCGATTTTATTTGAACCCTGAACTTCCAGTCCCAGGGTGGACACTCTACCACTGGGCCACTGAGAAAGTAAGGCAAAGATGTTGGGATAAGTGTAGTAACTGGAGTACTCTACTGCTACTGGATTACTCTACTACAAGAGTTCTTATTGTAAATATGTTTTTATCCCCTCATCATATCACATGCTGCTACTACCCCCAATTCTATTACACAATACTTTAATCACTTTTGTGAATCGCCTGCACCGACGGCTTAATTACTTATTCACCAGGATACAGTCATGTATTTATTTGTTGAGTTATCCGACTGTTTGTTTTGCACCATCCTACAGGGTACTACTGTAGATTATTTTTTACTGTATATATTGTACATCATATTTCTATTTCACCTTTTCCTTTGTCTCTCCTACTGCTTTGAGTATGTACATGACACAAGAATTTCTCTCGGGATAAATAAAGTTGTTCTTATCTTATCTTATCTTATCTTATCTTATCTTATCTTATCTTATCTTATCTTATCTTATCTTATCTTATCTTATCTACCACAACTTCTAATTTTAGTTCAGTATCTGAAAACTTGACTGATTATAATCCTTAACTGTGTTTGCTCATGTTGGCTAGCTGTGGTGGCCATCTTTTATCAGGTTGACTCCAAAGTGAACCAGCTCTAGACGTTCATCCAAAGATTGTTTTCTGAGCGGTTAATTTAAATCTAGCTTTTTTTTAATGAGATGTTTTGGTTTAATGACCTCCCCTAACATCTGCTTCAAAGGCTAGTCAATGACTTTTGGATTGTTGAATGAGGTTTAACCATTTGTATAAAGATATGTGTAGGTCTCTCTCTGGACGGCCATTCTTTTTATTTTAACTGCAATGACCCAGTTACAAAACCTGCCTCTGTCGTTACCAGTTCAAGATTTTCCAACCCCGTCGAGAGGTAGGTATTATCAGATGATCAGGTTCACTGGCAAATTTGCACAGATAACAACCTGTACCAGCTGCTTCCTTATAAATTAGCCAGTTTATGAGATTAGGAAAGGAGAACTTGAGAGAAATCCTGGCAACAGCAGCCATGGAAACTCGTTGCTGAGGTTTCGATTATCAGGAGATTTCCCAATGCTACCAGCAACTGGTTTGTTGTTATGTGGTGATAATAATACACCAGGGCTTATAGTTTTCTTGGAATGATTCTTCTGAGAAGGTTGTTCCCATTTCATGACCCCAGACTCCATTAGACAGTAAGGTCTAGAGAGGGTCAGCTATAGTACCACCACTAGAAACAATCCAGTTTTTCTTCTGCAAACAACGATTAGGCCTAATCTGTGCTTCAAACATTCCTGCATTAAAACAGGTCAAAAACCCTAACCTGTTTGTCAAGACAGGATTACCAGGGGCTGCCCCATAGGCACAGAAAATCTGATGAGTCACGTAGGAGTGTTTGGACACCTGCCAACGTGCAGCTCAGACTCATAAAATTGCCTCTGCCTTTTACCGTTTAATCCGTCTTCACATTTAGTTTTGCCTTGAAACCCCTCCTCTCTTCACCCAATAACTGATCGAAGTTCAAAGCTGGTGTTAAAATTAAGCTGCTCAACATGACATTGCCAGCACATGCAAAAGACGGCTGCATGGATAAACATCGATGGGATGGCATGCAAAGGTTCAGGCACATTCACGACCCCATTGCTATCCAAAGATCTGATCAAAGGAAAGATTAAAGTTTTGAGGGGGAGGTTCGATCTTACTAGCAGCCAAGAGTCTTTCATGAATTTGGTCAGATCAAGGTAGTTCAAGAGTTGTGTTTAGGGTCAATCAGGGGTGTGTCTAGGGAGTGGTCAGAGTAGCACATGACGCCACCCTTGGAATCTGATTGGCCACCACAGGTGCCAACCCCACTGAGTTTCATTTAAATTGACTTTACATTGTCCAGAAAAGGTTTTGGGGTTATAACAGTAGAGGGGAGCAGTCACCTAGCCCTGCCCACCAAAATGCTTTTGAATGATTACTTTTTCATATTGACATAAAAAGTGCCAGTTGGTGGCGGTAATGCACATTAAGTGGCTTGCTAACCACCATGCCACCCATGCATAAACGAGTGCCCCACCCGCGGCACCCCAATTTAATAGGCCTGGACACGCCACTGGGATTAGTTGAAACTTAAAGAGCAAGTCACCCCCAAATCACATTTTTTTTGCTGATAAACTATGTAAACGAGTGTCTAATCGTGCTACAGACACGTGTAGTCAATAATTTGGCAGTTCAGTGCATCTTGGTTAAAATTCAAATATTCTACCTAAAACTGACAGTGTTGCGCCGTCGTCAGAGAAAAATTCTGCACTGTATTTGAATTTAAATCTGCCACTGCTATTGGCTAAGAGGTATGCTATGATGTCATCTAGTACATTATGATGTCACAATGCCATTGTGAGCCTGTGTGTGTATTTGTTAGCGGCTCCGCCCTCTCGGTCTGCCAAGCAACAGCATTTGTTGCATTTTTCAAACATGAAGTGGGAGTGAAGTAAGTTTCTTGTAGGGGGTGACTTGCTATTTAAGTATCCATTTCCTGCTGCTTGAAGTCCTGAAGGGAAACCCAGACGTCACTTTCTCCAGGGTCTTATGTGGAACAAACATTTCCAGACTAGAAAAACATTAAACTCCTGCCAGTGAGCTCTTGTCATGACTTTTGGACTCCTCCAATTGAGAAAACTCTGGAAAGCCTCCAAAGAGGGATTGCCAGCAGCCATCCTAATTAGAACCATTTTGCCTGAGCTCTTCAGGGAAAAGCTCATTTTAGCTGCTTGTATTCTGGATTGTGCTCTATCAGTCACAGTTCGGATCTCATGAACATAGATAAGGGTTAGATGTAAAGGACGCAGATTCTAGAGTCTAGACAGACCAGTAAGTAGAGAGTATTGCGTTTTAGCTCAACTCCCACTTAATCGCAACACACAAATCATGCAGCTTCCTCCTTCCTGCTGAGAAAGCGACTCCATTTCTAGCCCCACCGTACCATCACCTCAGAACAGTGCATCAAGATGCTTTTCACTCTTGGGAATTTTTCTATGTGCTGTGTTGGCAGGCCATTACTGTTGAATTGTTCTTTGTGCTTGTAGGTTCAAACTGTCTCTAAAACAAAATACTTCCACCTCTGTGCAAAATAAATGAAATCTAACAAATTAGATTCTAGAGGATGATGGTGATGGTGGCAGAGGAGTTGAGCGCCCACCCTAACCAGAGGATTGCAGTATTTGTCCCACTCAGTCTGTTGCAGTCATTGTATCTTGGATGAGCCACTTCACCCACATGTCCTGCTGGTGGTGGTGGGATTGAATCATGGTGGGACCCACCTTTGCTAGGTAGTCACAGGCCTGGGTGGGGGTGGAAAGGTCCTAGAACTCTAAAAGATGCTATATAAATACAGCCATATACCATTTTTACCTTTCCTGAAAAAAAAATATCCACAAGATTCTGTTCCTGACCAAAAGAACAAGATCTTAGCTAGACCACTCGAAAGGAGCTTCCACTGTGGCGTGGCTGGGCTCAGCCTTAGCGATCCGGTGATTTCAATACATTTTCCCTCAGTGCTTCTTTAATTTCACATCTATTTGGGCATTAAAGATGCTTCATTGAGTGAAGCAAGTGAATGAGAACACAAGTAAGTCTTTCTGCCACTTGATAGAGCTCTAGAGCTGAGTTAATGGAGCAAACACAACTACGACATGTTGATTCACCCTGTTCATCATTAAAGCTGTCCAACACCCGACGTCTTCCATGTCTACACATTACCTAACATAGTCCTAATTCTTTCACTACAAGACCTATACCTCTAGCATACCTCCTTGCAGACCCTCCTCGTGACGTCTGGTGGTTGTATAAACTTTTACCTCGCTCACAAAGACCATTTTAAATCACAACAAATGACATTAAAACTGATAAATAATACACATCCATTCTTTCTGTTTAGGCTGCTCAGATAGGCTAAATGAAGCCAAAGCAAAATTCTTCAGAACTGTGACCAGACCAACCCTCCCACCACCCTATCTCACTCCCAAGAGAAATATCTTGTCTCTAGTCCAGTCAGAGTAAAAATAAAATGGCCAATGTGGCAACTGAGATTGTAGCCTTTCTTCTGACCATCTCTGGTTGGATCTTGGTGTCGTCCACGCTGCCGACAGACTATTGGAAGGTGTCATCTGTGGATGGGACGGTTATTACAACAGCGACCTTCTGGTCCAATCTATGGAAGACCTATGTTACCGATTCCACCGGTGTGTCTAACTGCAAGGACTTTCCATCCAAGTTGGCTTTGGATGGTGAGTTAATGGCTTGCTATAGCAACTTGTGATGTTCTTCTACTTGAATCTGAACGATTAATTTATATTGAAGTGACTGAGAGAAAGCATCTACCTGATTTACTAGAAATTATTTGGGAAATTTTCCGTTTGGAGTGAAATATTGAAAGAACATCAGAGACATTTTAATGAATAAACCGAGCTAGACATATAAAATCTTTTATTGTGCTTTGAAGATGCTTTCCTTAAGTCACTGTTACGACAGCATCATCTTCCATTTGTTGTCAGATGGCTGTTTTTGAGTCTTTGATGCTTGATGAGTTCTCTAAACACATTATCTTTGGTGAAGTGGTTTCTATTGAGCGAAGATCATTTTTAACTCATTAGTGGTTGTGGATGGACAAGTTTGATGGAAGAAAAGAAACGCCTACAAAGGCCACTAATATTACTCTAAATGATTAAAATCAACAATCACATTTAATTCGTGAATCCACTTCAGATAGATTTCTTCTTTGTGAGCCAGTTTGGTCACAAAATATAACACCTGGTTGTCTCCTTTTGTGGATTTTCAAATTTTGGAGTTACTTTGGTTTGTCATGGTACAGAATAGGCCTGATATAGAAATGATATTTTCTTCTTCTTATTCTGATATGAACAAATTATTGATGATAAACAATATTATTGTCTGATGTTTGAGACCAAAATGGTCTGTATTTGATATAGCACCTTCTAGAGTCATGGAACCCCCCAAGGCGCTTTATAACACAATCAGTCATTCACACATTCACACGCTGGTGGGGATGAGCTACGATTTGGCCACAGCTGCCCTTGGGCGAACTGACGGAGGCGAGGCTGCTGAGCACTGGCGCCACCAGTCCCTCCGACCACCACCAGCAGGCAACGTGGGTTAAGTGTCTTGCCCAAGGACACAACGACAGCGACAGACTGAGTGGGGTTCGAACCTGCAACCTTCCGATTACGGGGCGAGCTCTTAACTCCTGTGCCACCGTCGCCCCACTTATAACCACTTATGTAATGTTAATATACCATATGGGGCAAGTACACCCATTAAAATGCAATAATTAAACCTTTATTTGGTGTCCAGAACCAGAACTTCTAATCTAAAAAAAATACATTAAACAAACAAAAAAATTTAATCAAATTCAAAAAAGACTCTCTCTCTCTCTCTCTCTCTCTCTCTCTCTCTCTCTCTCTCTCTCTCTCTCTCTCTCTCTCTCTCTCTCACTCTCTCTCTCTGTTAGAAATCTTTAACCAATATAGCCTTCACACAGATGTGTTCATCCTTTGTTCTGTTTATCCATCCTTTTGACTCTTATTGTGCTTCAACTTCAGCTGCTGCTTCCCCTAGCAACGCGAGTCATACAGCTAAAATGGCGCTAAGGGGGTGTGGTTGACATGCAGGTCACACGTCTGACAAAGATCGATATATCAAGGCTGGAAAAAATATTGAGTTCATTTTCATCTATCGTACAATTAACTGATTTATTGATTATCGTCCCAGCCCTTGTACAGAAGGAGATGAAGTTCCTGACTGGTTTGTCTATGAGGGATGGATTGAGAGGGTGGATGAGAAGTCCTCAAAATTCTAAACTTTTTAAGTAATTTTTGTGTATTTCTGGTCAATTTAGTTATTTCCAGAGTTTTGGTTTTCATTGTTTCACTAAATTTTTTTTATTCAAATTCCAGAGAAGAGAACACACACGTTTTATTTCCACACAAATACACTAATTTCTTCTTAGAATTTTCTAGATTTTTCTCAGAATTGTACTGACTTTGTTTACTTTTCATCTAAATTGGCCCTAATAGGGTGTTGCTCTGACACGTTCAGCACTTTTTTAATTGAAAACTGTAAAAAAATAAATAAAAAGTCATAACTCCCATATCTGTATGCTAAAGTCTGCATAACTTATGCTAAACTTTTGATTATTTTTCTTTACTTTTTTTTTTTGGGGGGGGGGGGGGGGGATTTGCATTTGTATTTTTTGCTTTTATTTTACTCATTAATTATTTTAAACTTTGTGCAGCACTTTGGTCAATGTATGCTGTTTGAAAAGTGCTGACTCATTCAAGCACATGCTAATTTTTAGCTAGCTCCGGATTTCTCCAACCCTTCTAAACACCCTTTAGCATCAAATTTGCATGGAACTGTAACCGGATTACAGGATACAATAAGATAATTAAAAGAAAAAATAAACAAATGGGCCAATAATTAGGGTCGGGGAGAATTGGAGGTTGTTTAAGAATGACTGGAGTCACGGGTATAGCATGAAACGGTTTATATACTAAATTTTAATAATAATGGGAAATATAACACATAAAGATAACACACAAAAACAGATGAAAACAATCGACAATAGTAAAATGCTCGGTATGAGATTTGATCATATGAGTCACAAGTCAGCCGGCGTCAAGTCAAATCCCCACGCTTGGGGTGAAAGTCAGAGTCCGGTGGTGCGATTTTTTCCTACCGCACCGTTGAGATTGTTCACAGAAGAGAGCAGTCTGCTCTTCAGTTACTTGAGATGTCCTGGTTCGTTCAGTGGTTAAGGCTCGCCATCTCCCTCGTCAGGAAGAAATCCAGTTCTCGTTCCAAGTGAGTGATCATAGGAGTCGGGATCAAACCCAAGGAAAAAAAAAAAACCCAGCCTGTAAACAACAGGACTGTTAGCGAGTTGGCATCGACCCTTCTCGTCACATCACAGCATAAAGTCTTACAGACTTAAACAAATGCTTCACTCTATTGGCATAGCCAATCATGTTTGGGTTCACAGTTCAACTAACATAACATCAATTTGATTGTCTATTAAAATAATTCTCAGTAGCTCTGGAAATATAATTACATATGACAACAATTGTTCAGCTCAATAGGCTCAGTTAGATTCTATTACTCTACACTATTCGACAAGAAATACATTCATGACAACAAGGATACATTTAGTTGTGTTTCTATACAGCATTGTGACACCTTGTATATCTGTAACACAATAAATAAATAAATAAATAAATAAATAAAATGTTCTATAACAAAATTCAACAAAATATAAATTCTGGTCCTTTGGTCCACCTTTGTAAAATAATTCCTCCCTAATCAGTTAGCTTTTATTTATTTTTATTTATCTATTTTTTTTTATTATTAAATGTTTGGTTAAGGGACGCATTGCTAATTCTATGGCGTTAGCTATAACGCCCCTGAGGACCTTGTACATCTAGGCCGTACCACCGTTAACTGGCGGTTTGAGCCGTTAACTCCTGGGAATCCCATATGCCGTACCGCCGTTAACTGGCGGTTTGAGCCGTTAACTCCTATATGCCCTACCACCGTTAACTGGTAGTTTGAGATGTTAACTCCTGGGATCTAACGTCTAGCAGCCCACTGCTGTCACCTCGGTTGCTGTAATTAGCTTTTTGAATTTAATAATTTACTGAATTTAATCTCATTCACTCACCAACGCGCTCCAACGGTTCCCTCCTACAGAGGATTGGTTCACTCTGTCGTCTCCACACAAATCTATAAGAATGGAATTAATTTGATAAGCTATTTAAGTTTCCTTTTTTTTTTAAGTTGCATCGTTAGCTTTTTCTCTTCTTTTTTCTTTACTCACCGCGTTGGTTCCAAGTTCCTAGCTCTTATTAGAAGGAGTCAAGTCCGCCTCTCCCTCTATCTATGCGGCACCCAAATCGGGGTTCTTCACGGCCTCGACCGTTGTTTTTTTTCTCTCTCTCTCTCTCTCTCTCTCTCTCTCTCTAACCGCTCAGTCTTTGCTTTCTGTATCTGCGTGCTGCACAGCCGTTTGTCTCTCCTCTCGCTCAGCTGCGTCGCACGGTTTTATTTCGCGGAGGCGGGACTTATTTCTCTCAGCCAATGAAATTTCAGATTCCCACCTGGACCAATAGTATACAGCTTTCCTCTTCTGTTTCTGTTAGGGATGTTCAAGATTCTTGTTTTAACCGATGTTTAATATTAAACTCGTTATTTTAGTTATTCACCCTTCCAATAATTCATTATGAAATTATCTATTAGTTAATTAGATATCTATTAATTAGTATTGTTAATTTCCTTAATTTATATTTTATATTTTATCTAAATTGAGGATGGATCATATTAGTAAGCCAAATAGTTAATACCTCATTAAGGTTCTAGCTTCTGGGTTACATCCTCCCCCATTAAATATCATGCACGTCCCTGTGCATTGTTTCTACGGGGTACACAACTTCTTGAGTAAGAGAGTCAATAAAAGCTTTATTAAGTCCTTGGAAAAGGGACCTAACTACGGTCACTAGTGGATTGCCCAATTGAGAGTAAGTTAGTCTTTGAGGAGGCTGACTACTTCGTTCAGATCTCCTGACATACATCTCTGGTTGCACAGTATCATGCTCATCCGTTTCGGTTTGATTCTCAACTGAGACAGGACGAAGTGAGCTCTCTGTTTCCGACAGAGCTGATGAGCTATTCTCTAAGACTTTGGTCTTTTCAGATGTATGTGTCTGATCGTGTATGATGGGTTCAAAACTTACATCACGTTGCTGCGACTTTAGGACACCATCCAATTGAGGTAGGTTTGTGTTAGTTTCATCCCCCGTTTCTACGTCAGGTAAGTATACTTCGTTTTTTTTCGTTTTTTCAGGTAAGTATGTTGCTGCTTCTTTCACTCTTTCAGGTAAGAATGTCGCAGTTTCACTCATTCTGTCAGGTAAGAATGTTTCGGTGTTGATGCCTTTGTCAAGTAAGGACAATTCAGCATTTTCATTACCAGCTAAGGTTGGTTCCTTGCGATCCCCTGTGTGTAAGGATAGTGTGTTTTGTTGTTGAATATTATTTACCGGTCCTGAATCTGCTATGAGTTCCCTATTTGGCAAGGTGACCGCTATTTGATAGGATGGTCGGTTTAGCACTTGTGGAAGATCAGAGTAATAAAACTCATCTACCACTTCGTCAAGTGGCTCATCTGGGTCAGGTTCTAAGGCTGAACTCTGTCTTGTATGAGGTCTGCTAGGTTTCG